ACAGCATGACTGCAACTACAGATAAAAGCAGCATGACTGCAACTGCAGTAGAAACAGCATGAGTGCATGCAACTACTGCATTGTCCACATAAATGGCAAATTTATGACAACTGCAGAGAGATTTATTGCGACAGTAAAGACCCAACTATAAAGTTATAAACACTTAACTGGAAATAATCGAGCAAAGTGAAAAATTAACAAACAAAGAAAAAAATCTACACTACTCAATATTAGTCCTTCACTAGTTGAGACTGTGTGTGAAACTATGAGACTATATGGCCATTCAATGGGGGGGGGGGTCATTGGAAACAGGAAACTGTACTGGTATGACATATACAGTATGAACTAAAGTGTATGGGGATTGTAAATGTTATTGCCATATATTGTCAACATATTAATGCAATTTATTTGTATTACTGTTGAGCCACCTGAACAGAATTTTCATTTTTTTTAGCTCTGTTGTCATCATAAATGTCAGAGCGGAGCTGTTCATTAGGTGATTGCCCATCATCCATCAACAATTACATTTTCATCTTTTTGAAAACTTATACCAAATCAATTGCTCCTAGCTGTTACTTATGTGGGTACCTCGAGTGGATCGACCTCTGTCAGATATGTTCATGTGTAAAAGTCTATTTTTAGCTTTTCTACAATTATTAAATGTTAATCATCGCATTTAAATGAAAATTTGTACACAATGCGCAACCTGATCAGTTTTGTGTTAAAATCTTTAAATATAAATATTTTTTTGTTTTTTTCATCAATATCTGAACTTCTGATCACATTTCAATGTACCTTGGTACATAGATGCTCTGACATTGTGCATTTGAAATCCATGCATGTTAATTGTATAATAATTAACCAATTTTCCACCTTTATCTCAAAGACCAATTATGGCGGTTCAATGATTAGTTTTGAATTGAAATTCAAGCATACTAATTGCCTAATTTGCATAATGTGTATATTCATCACAATTCATTGCAATTTGGTTAATCTAAAGACATGATTATTTTAATGTTGAAAACTATACATATTGATTATCTAATTATTATTAGTCAATTTCTGATATCTCAAAAAAATCATATTTAAAGGTGCTCTGCAATAAGCAAACCACAGATGTACAATCAAATTTGTTTTCGGTGTTATAAACTTCAATACCGTACTTCAATGTTTGACTAATCGTCAAAGTTTGAAATATTTGATATATATATTTCATGCATAACTAATTATTATTAAAGTATAGCAAGTAAAGTTCCATTTTTGCATTTTGGGCCCGTATCTCTCCTTCAATTATTGCTACAGGAAAAAAACATAAAGGTTATCGCAAGTATACCTCAAAAATATAGAATCATCCGACCATTGCTTAACTGAGCTGCCTTAAAGGATTCTATGATGTCATTCTTTACCCATAATTCTTTGCTTGAAAATCAAGATGGCTGACTACATAATACTGATGAAAAGTTGAATATCTAGAGAATGAAAAGTGATATAAACAAACTGTTAATTTCATTCTCCTACATTTGTGGAGCTTATTCTTTAGAGGTCATTATGTTGTTTGGGCTGATGTTTCCATTAATTGTTGGTAAAATTGTAATATTTTCAAGAAAGTTTTTGTAATATTTGATGTCCGTCCAACGTAACTATTTTCTAAACATTGTATATTGTCACAGGTGTTATACAGAATGTTCAAACAATTCGCTGTGATGGGAAGCGAGAACCGACAGTCTGTTGACTATGTGCTTGGTTTGACATCTTTCTTCGTTATCAGTATTGGCGGTACACTTATAGGTATCATATGGGGTCTACTGACGGGATTTGTCACCAAATTTACAGATCATGTCCGAGTGATTGAACCATTGTTTGTGTTTCTCATGAGTTATCTCTCCTACCTCACTGCTGAAATATTTGGTTTCTCTGGAATCATGGCGTAAGTATTATTCTACATTTTATATTTATAGTGATTAATTTTTTTGAAACAATTATAAATGATTTATAGTTGACGTGATCTTATATTGAAATGTAAATATTTCAATAATAATTTCCTACCTTTTTGATAGATTGAAATTTCTGTTTCTATGGTTACTGTGAACCACTTCAATTTCGCTTTTCCACTTTTCATAAAAGACAAATTTTTGGGAAAAAGTCTGGGGAAAATTGTGGAATTTTTTAGCAGTAAACATTTTATTGGGAATTGAGACTATTCCTCATATCAATATCACAAAAATTAATAGCGACATAAATTAAACATCCTGGGAAATCATAAAATTTTATAGCCAATCACATCGCAAAAATGTTTAAATGACTACAAATTAAGAGTTGTCTCATTTGGTTTGCAATTTTAGTAACATACATGTAAAACAACATTTCAATTCAGTGATTTGTGGGAAAACCAAAAATGGGGAATGGGGGAAAAATCAGTGAAAATTAATTTCATACAAAACACCCAAAGATTGTTTCAGCAAAAATTAATTCCAGCGAAAATAAAGTGTTTTACAGTACATTTGTATCTTGATACTGTGATGTACTCAAGACTGTTAAAGTGAAATTATAACCATGATATATTTCATATAATTCTTATGTGTAGACATCTCGTAAAATAATAGAAGTGCCTTTAATAGATTATATTCTAAAAATAGAATAAATTAAAGCAACTTAAAGTGCATTTATTTTATATTTCTTGAAATCCTGCTTAACAAAAACAGCTGTTCATGATGAGTAGGATTCCAGGAGCAAAATATCCGGGGAGTAAATGCAATAGATTAAAATAGAGAAATAAATATATGTATAAAAACACTGGTCTGGTAGCGGTATTAATTTATAGTTATAAAAATGACTTCTCATGATATTTGTTAGACAATGAATTGTGGGAAATGTTGGCAGCATGCGTTTGATGATAGTGGATCCGGTATTTCATGTAGTTGACTCCCTTCACACTTCATATTTATTTTGTACGTCCATTTCTATGCAAATTGTGGGATGATGATGAGGGTTAATTAATATGTGTGGAAATAATATTCTAGGACAAATTTGTTTTTGAAAACTTTTACCACAGATTAATAAATTATATGGATAATAATTACAGTGATATCAAAAATTTTTTGTAATTTTTTTGGTAAAACATGCTATCTTTGAAAAGTATTAGCCAGATTTAATACCCCCCATAGTCAAATTTGTTAATCCTTATTTTTATGCAGAATGCTATTTTTTACTCATGTGTGTGAAGCACTCAATGGGAGTCTTTGCAGCTATACATGTATCTGTATATTAATCACCTAATTTACATAACATCTCAAGTGCTGTAATCATCACATTTCAATGAAACTTTGTACATGAATACTCTAAAACAATACAACAATTTAATTAGTTTTGGGTATATATACATGTGATTGATAATGAAAAACATGCATATTGCTTATCTACATGTAATTATTATTAGCCAATTTCTGATATCTCAAAAATTCAGATTTAACTTGAAATTGAACTTGTGGTACAGGTGCTCTGGAGTAAATTGGACTGAAAACCACAGATGTAAAATCAAATGTATTTTCTAAATTATATATTTCAATACTTCTGATCACATTGTTTTAATTTAGTTAATGTACATCTTAAAAAGATAAATATTAGTTGCCAATCATCTTGTTTGGAAGGCTAATTGATCTTTATATGTCTTCAATATTCTCAGCACACAGGAATTCATTCTAAGCTTTCTTTGGTTGAGTTCTTGAAAACAGCCAGCCTTATTTCTTTGCCATTTTTTTCACACTCTGTATCTCAAACAGCAGAGCTATAGCAACAGTAGTTTCTTTCATGATTCAGAAGAAATGCCTCGACATGCCACTAAAATATGTAATACAGTGTAAATGTATAAAGGCTATACAACTAGTCAAATACCTACTTCCCTGTTTCCTCAGCTATATCTCTACAATGCATTGCAAGCTGTGTATGGAACAGCTATATAATAACACTTATTGAATCACATTGTTGCAAGATAAGTTTCCAAATGTCACTATATTGTTAGCCAAATGTCACTATTGAGGCATGCAAATTGGGACAATGTATCTGCTGTCACTGTGAAAGTGATGCAATCAATTGGAGGATGTATAATTATTTACTTTGTATCGCTTCTCAATCCAGCTACATCTAAGATCAATTATTGGTACGAAATAGCATTGCATAGTGATGATGATAATATGTTTCTATGGTTACCATTCTTACAATAGTCATGTACTGAATGACTACTCGCATTTCTTATGCCATATATGGTGGTTTGTATAAAGTTAATTCACATTCAATTGCTTTGATCAATCTACAATGTTGATGCAATATCTGAGTAGACTGATGTTCGATCACCGTGAAAGGGTGATAAAGAACTACAAACAACGGAAATCAATGAGATGTTTTGCAAATAATTT